GGCAAGCATCCTACCAGTAGAGCTGCATGCCTGCTCTTTCCTTCTCCTGTATCTCAAGCTCTTCAGCAATAGCTCTTTGCTCACCTGAATTCTACCTCTTTCTCAGTACATTGCCGTTTCCTACCCCTCCTCCTTCTCTGCCTGCTTGTTGACTGCCCTTGTGATCTGACCCAGTAGATGAGCCCAAACTCATCTTCCTTGTTTTTTTTTTTTAATATTCCTCCACGCAGGGAATCAGTAAGTATTTTTGGTGAGGCAGGAGGCAGAGGAGCTGAAGGGAGTGAATGGAAATGAGGTAGTTTATGTTTTTCCAACTTTTGCCAAATAAGTGTTATCTAGAAAAAAACAGGTGCACTCCTCCCTGCCCAGCCACCTATCCATTAGAATGGTTTAATTACTGCCTGAACACTAGACAGGCAATTAAAAGGCAGTATTCAAACCAAAAAATTAAGACACCCTCTTCAATCAGAGTAAAATTGTCTGATCGAGAAGCTAATTAAGAATGGAGTGCAGAGTTTCCAGCCAGAAATTTTGTCTGGGGCCTCAAAAGCCCCTGATTTTGTTCCCAGGCCCACGCTCCTTTTTAGTGAGTCTCTGTGATGTTCCTGGTTTGTCATTGGCTAAGGAGACTCAGCCAGAGCCTGGGGCCTGGAGGAAGGCACAAGGCAGAATGCAAAGAAAGCATTGTGGGACAGACAGATGAGCAAGTGCTTCAGTGCCAGTGGTGCACAGGTACACACTTAAGGGTAAACAGAAGTAATGGCACCCTTGGGGACAGAGGGGAAGCCTCATTGTCCAGCATCTGTCACACTGGGTCAGGGATTACAGGGAAGTCGTTAGGAAATTATGCTCCCTCCAAAACTCTTGTCTGTGTTTCCCCCCAGAGAGATGATGTTTGCCCAGGACTAGGAACCAGTGTGTCTCTCAGTGAACTCTCAGTGAAGATGCACAGGGAAACGGGCAATTTCAGGAGCTGGTGGGTGCTGGAAGAAGTGGCAGGGTGGCTGTTCTTTTCCCCCAGAGTCTGTGTTGAAGCGGAAAAGCCATGAGGTGTTCTCTTCCAGGACTTGCGCTGTAATGAGGAGGCGGAGGCGGGGTGGTGGTGGTGGTGGTAACTAGTCCATGTTGTCCTTGTGAGCTAGCTCGTGCCCTGGGGTTTCCATGGCTGCGGGAAAAATTCCACCCTGTGTCTCCTAGCCCGTCATCTCCTCCACTGTCATAGGTTCCGCCTTCCTACCTTTTCATCCTATGGACAATCATCCTTCTCTTGTTTTGATTATTCTTTCCCCTAGCCTCTCCATGGTGACCTCTGGACAACAGGTCAACATGAGTGACTTCTCTGTGGGTTTCTTTCATCAAAGCAGCTGTATTCTGGAAACAGCTTCCCTCATAGCTGTCTCTATGGTAGCTGCTCTTTCACAGGCTGTGGGGCCAAGAAGTAATGTCTACAGGTATTGCGCTGCCTACCACTACACCCATGCTGTCTTTGCTCCTCCATCCTTTAGAAGCTCCAGCACTTTGAAGTGCACCCTGCTTTCTTTACCACCTTCACCAGCAATGCTGCTGGCTGCTGGCTGCTGGCTCTCTGCTGCCCTCACCAACCCGCAGGCCTTTATCAGCATCTTCACACATCAGTATACCACCTTCTTGGAGGCATTTTAGAAATGTGCGTGATTTGTTCTCTCTCTCTCCCCATGTGTATGTGTATGTATGTTATTTTTCCTTTTATTGAAAGTGGATTTTTTCCCCTCACATAATATGTCCTGATTAAGGTTTTTCCTTATTCTATTCTTCCCTGTTTCTCCCCAGCTCTCTTCCCATCTGGATCCACCCCCTTTCTGTCTCTCATTAGAGACAGGCTTCTAAAGGATAATTATAAAATATAATTACATAAAAACTATCACATCAGAGTTGAACAAAACAAACAGAAGGAAAAGAGTTCAAGAGAAGACACAAGAATCAATGACCTACTCATTTGAACACTCAGGGATCCCATAGAAAACACTAAACTGGAAGCCCTAATACACACACACACACACACACACACACACACACACACGCACGCACGCACGCACGCACGCACGCACGCACGCGCACACACACATGACCTGGTGCAGACCTGTGCACGCAGATCAGTCTCTGTGGGTTCCTATGTGCATCAATTCTGTTGATTTAGAGGGCCTTGCTTTCTCAGTGTCTTCCATCCCCTTTGGCTCTTATACTCTTTCCACATCCTGTTCCCCTGGGCTGCTGAGCTTGAGGGGAAGGATTTGATGAAGAAATCCCTTTAGTCCTGCATGTTCCAGAGTTTCTCACTCTCTGCATAATGTCTGGTTGTGGTCTCTGTATTTGTTCCTGTGCTGCAGGAAGAAGTTTCTCTGGTAATGGCTAAGCAAGTCATTGATCATATTTGTCTTTCTGTGTCTGAAATACCTGGCTCTGGGTGATTTCTTTCTATGGTTTGTTTGCCAATGCAGTTGTACCCTAGAACTTACATTGAAATCTTTATTGTTTTCTTACAAGTGATTTCCCCTTTTGTTTTATGTCATTAATTTATCTATTAAGGCAATGGTTCTCAAGATGTGGGTTATGACCCCTTTGGGAGATCACATATTAGATATCATATTAGATGTCTACATTACAATTCATAACAAAAGCAAAAATTATAGCTATGAAGTAGCAATGGAACAATTTTATGTTTGGGAGTCATCAGAACATGAGGAATTGTATTAAAGGGTCACAGCACTAGGAAGGTTGAGATCCACCATATTAAAGCATTCCATTAATTAAAAACCACATACCAAGTTTATAATATTTTATGAACTTTATTTCAGGATAGTAAAGGAGATACTAAAACATACTTGGGAGATACATATAAGAGCATTCGGTAAACTGTTCGGCTTTCAAGCATGAAGAACCTGAACAGGTTCTGGGAATCCAAACTTAGTTTCTGAATGGCAAGCACTTTACCCACTGAGCCATGACCCAAGCCCTGATGAGAGATTCCTCGCTCTACCCTCACATAGCAAAAGAAAGACACGTGAGAACAAACTGTCCAGGCTCTGTCAGCCATACGGTCTGTTCATGCGGAGTGAGTTCTCACAACCTAATCACTTTATAAATGCCCCAAGTTTCAATACTAAGTGCTAAAGGGGATGCAAGCCACCATGTCTATTCCCCCAAAGTCTATCTCCAGCCCAGACTTCAGCTTCTTATATCCTACCGTCATTTGGCCTACCAGTTAGACTTTTTAGCAGACATCTTAAACACACCATAGCTAACACATGACCATTAGTCACTGTGGTGACTTGAACAGTGGCCCCAGAGACAGTCAGGGCCTCATCCTCAAACTGTTAGCCTTTTGTGACAGGACTTTGGTGGGGGTGGGAGGGTAATGGCTAATTTGAGCATCCTGAAGTGAGAAAAGTATTGTGAATTATTTGGGTAGACCGACCCTCCATGTAATCACAAGAGCTCTTGTTAAGAGAGAACAAAAAAAAAAAAAATCTGTGATGACAGGAGAAAGAGGGTGGAGTGATATAAGAAGAAGCAATACAATGGCTACTTCTAGAAGTTGAAAAAGGAAACATTCTCTCCCTCCAAACCTTTCGGAAGATTAGTCCCCAGTGACACCTGCACTTTAGCCCCATGCAATTGAGCCCAGAACTATAAGAGAATGTATTTGTGCCGTTGCAAGCCATCTATGACCTTCTGGACATTTGAATGTGGCAGCCATAGTGAAGTAATGGTCACCATCCCCATACAGATCCACATGCCAGCCCTGGGACCATCTACATCTCAGCAAATGGTGCCCTCATCATCCAACCGTGGCAGCCAGAGCCTTCGAGTTGCTGAGCTGCTCCTCGGTCAGCTCATTTGTGGACAAGTCTGTCAGCTCTAACTGCAGTATACATCCTGCCTCTAAAAACTCGCTCCACCTCTATGTCCCTAGCACAGGTCACCAGCTTTCAGCTTCAATTATGGTGTCACTTCCTGCTTAATTTTACATTTCTATTCTTACCCCTTACAACAGTGAGTTTTCTTAAGAGCAAATCTGACAATGTCATCCCCACTTCTAAATCTCCTCAGGGGATTCCCATCATACTAATAACATGTAAGACGTGATTATAGCTAGGGCTATGTCCCCAGCTCTCCACAAGCACATGCTTGCACTGTGTTAGGCAGGCCAACCTCAATTCCATGGCCATTTTCTTCCCTCTTGCTAAAACAAGACCCCAAATGACTACAGCCAAGGGCTACTTAACCCCATTTCATTTTCCTCCCAGCATGTGCCAGCACAGGAAAAGGGTCTGGCTGGATTACTTGCATGTCTCGTATGTGCCTTCTCACTTAAATACAAGTTCTCCAAGGACAGGGCTTCCTGTTTCAGGCACTGCAGGATCCCAAGTGCTTTGCACACAGTAGGCCTCCAATTGATATCCATTTGCCTTGTTACCTTGTGTGTGGCTTGTTCCTGTGTGGCTTTCTAGGTGTGGCTTGTTTCCACTGGTTCCCACTTCATTTGGCCAATATAATTGCAAGAATATCCACTTTGCCAGAGGGACTTGTATTTCAGTAACATAGGCGATGGAAAGAGCTAACGAGTGGAGTTGCATGCATCATTCTGCAGGATTGGAATGACTGAGGGATTTCATTCAAGTTGCCTTTTAAAGGTACCTGACTCATTCAACACCTGCTAAGCACAGGGGGTCATGAATATGTAATACAGGGAGGAAAATATTTACATTATGACTTAATTGGAGAATTTGAATTGTGTCAAGCCAAGAAGGGGGCAGGATGGAGCTTCAGAAGTAGGTGAAAGCATTTCGTGCAGATCCCAACTATTCCGTGGCCTTTCCCTTCTGGTGACTCATGGAGCGCAGGAAGGTAGATCAACACAGTGAACCCCCATGCGGATGTGAAAGTCGAGGAAGTGGTGGCGTTCCCCCACAACTACTTCCCTTCCTTGCTTAGCCTTTGTCTTCTTCTCTTCCTGCTAGGTCTCATCATCCACGAAGGACCCTCAGTGTATCGCATCTTCAAACGCTGGCAAGCTGTCAATCAGCAGTGGAAAGTGCTGAACTATGACAAGACAAAAGACTTGGAGGATCAAAAATCAGGAGGCAGGACAAACCTACGGACTTCCTCATCAACCCAAGCCAATATCCCCTCCACGGAAGAGGAGGCAGCCAGCCCCCCTGCCCGTGAAGAGGGGCCCACCAGGGCTGCCAGCCACCCTTCAGGCCCTGTGTCCCAACACCACTGTGCTTACACCATCCTGCATATCCTGAGTCACTTGAGACCTCATGAGCAGCGGAGCACGCAGGGCAGCAGCCGAGAACTCGTCATGAGAGTCACCACCGTGTGAAAGGAGGTCTGGGAGGAAGGCTGAGAACACACACATCAAGGAAAGAGGCTGGCCCAGGAGGGGCCCAGGGAGCAGAAATGGGAGGCAGAAATCCAGCAGTGGAGGGGGTGGGGGGCGCTCGAGGGAGCCTGGAGCAGAGGGGCGCTATGGGGAGGCTGCCCACTGGAGAGCTATTATGATTTCCAGTCTGTTGGTTTCACAGCAAGGGAAAAACCAACACAAACACCACAACAATGGGTGGGGAGCAACGGAACCTGCCCTACGAAAACATTTCTCTCCGGAGAATGGCAACTAGCAAGGCACCCAGAAAGAGTTGGGCAGAAAATGGTGGCCGGTACTTGAGGTACCTGCTGTACCTGTGGGTGTCAGGGCAGCAAAGAGAAAATGCTAAGGCCACCCAGGGAAGGGCTTTTGTAATCCACACCCCTCTCTGTGTCTTGGGTTGGCTCCTGCCTAGGTGCTGCTGGGTGCCCCAGAGAGAGACAGAGTGGGACCTCGTGAGCAGGTTTGTTGGGGGACCTATACACTCTGCAAAGTTCCAGTGACTCAAATGGCATTATGGACCCCCAGGAGATGGTTCAGGAAGGGAGCTATTGATATGTCTGGGCAGACAGATGGGGCTGTCTCCTGCAGAAAGAACTTTCCTAGCTGTAACTACAATTATCACTTGAGCTCAAAGATGGCTGGGGTTTAGAGATTGGTATCTTTCTGTTTGCTTGTTGATTTCATGGCGATTTGGCTTAAAGATGTTTACAGGATGGGAGACTCGCACACATACACGTGTACAGAGGGAAGTACGGACTTCTCATGAGTATCTCAAGCACAGTCTGCTGCTGTGGCTTCAACCTTCTAATGTCTGGCCAGGGATAATTTTCCCCACTACTAAGCCCCACCCACAACCAGAATAATGCAGTCTCTCTCTCTCTCTCTCTCTCTCTCTCTCTCTCTCTCACACACACACACACACACACACACACGCACACACACACACACACACACGCACACACACACACAGACCTTCCCACCTGGGTCTGCTGCATTGTAGGGTGACACTGGCCTGTGTATCTCAAAGAAGGCGTGAACCCCAATCTAAGTATTGCTGGCAGCTTGGCACCAGTACCCTCCCTGAAGAGGCAGTTTGCCTTGTGTTTAAGTGCTATGTGCACCCTGGCCCTTCTTGTGCAGCCAAGCACACCAGGGAGCCAGCCACGGGGCACTGTCTTAGGAGCCCACCTGTGTGTTCCAGGACCCTGCCAGGGAAGGCCACTGGGTGGTCACCTGCAGGGTTTCTTACTGTCATTGCACAATGGACATGTCATCCTTGGGTATTAAATGGACACTGTCAAGTACTTTTTTAAACTAGTTTTTAGGGTTTTTTAAAAACTCTCTGTTATTTGTAATATTCTCTTAAAAGCTTGGAAATAAAATTTCTTTCCCTACCACTTGTGTCCCTTTCCCGCATTTTCTCCTTTTCCTCTGGTGAGAGCCACTGCTGTGGTCCTGTGTCTTCCTTTAGCAAGTGTTTTCATTTCTCAGAGTTCAGAGGCTAGGGCAGACAGTTATGCTGCCATCAGCATGTGTCAATTGTATTGACACATGGATAAACATGGTGCATGTGCATACATGGGTGTGTATGTGTGAAACAGAGGCTAGGGCAGACAGGTATGCTGCCATTAGTATGTATCATGTGTGTATTGACACATAGGTACACATGATACAAGTGTGTACACGGTGTGTGTGTGTGCATGAACCAATCAGCATGCATCCATGTGTGGACTGATACACAGGTACACATGATGCATGTGTGTATGTTTGAGTATGTGTGTGTGTGTGTGTGTGTGTGTGTGTGTGTGTGTAACAGAGATTAGGACAGACAGGTATGCTGCCATTAGCATGCATCCATGTGTATTGATACATAGGTACACATGATGCATGTATGTACATGGTGTATGTGCATATATAAACCTGCTTCAAAACAGTGAGATTCCTGGCTCTTCTACTTCTTTTCTTTTTTATCCTCTCCTTAACAAATGGATCCCATCAGGCCAAAACAGGAACTGCTCTCGAACACTTCCCATGTTACAGTCTAAGAATCCTGGAAGTACTAGTACTAGAAAGATCTCTAGGGAGCTCTACCCACTTGAGTCCATTTCAATGAAGTTAAGAGAATCTGAGGAGGTGGGTGTAGGACCAGGTTTCCCTTTGAGGGTCAGAGAACAGCATCCAAATCAGGGCCCAGGGAAGACTTGGGCAGATCTCAAGTAACAAAACAAGATCATTCCTCCCTTCCCTGTGACCTGTCCTTCCTTCCTTAGGACTGACAGATGGTCAGGCAGCAGCATCAGTGGGACATGCCTCATGCGTTAGCCATTAGTAATTGTAGTTGGATGAGCAGCTGCTAGCAGGAAGTCCCTTGATGGGGGGTGGGGGAAATTTGCCAAAGATTACTTCCCAAAGGATCTTACAATCCAGAGACTCAGAAAAGACACACTGAAAAAAATAAAAAAACTAAATGAAACCCAACACTACAGATAAGCTGTATTATTCCAAGGATTTGAAGGGCTGGAGCTCAGTTGGATGGGTGCTTGCCTGGATGCACAAAGCCTTGGGTTCAATCCCCAGCTCTGCATACATCAGGCATAGCATCACGTTTATGTTCCCAGCACTCGGGAGATAGAGACTGGAGGATCAGGAGTTCAAATTACACAGTGAGTTCAAGGCCCGCCTGGAATACATGGGACACCATCTAAAAACAAGTGAAAACAAGTAAAATAAGGGTTTGGAATCTCTGTGTGGTCCAGGTCATTTAACTTAAATACTTAAGGAAACCATGGTTTATTGTGATGTGAACTATCTTCTTGCAAAGTAGTGTTCAAATATGGTGGAGTCTACACATCAGCAGAACTATGGTGACTAACATGCTCTCTCACGTGAGTCACAGGTCACCTCAGTATCTTATGGTTGTATTGTATCTGGATGTGTTGTGCTGAAAGAGACTCAGTTGATGAGAAGTTCTCATAGACTGCTGGACTTGTGGTGTCTTGATGATAGAAGCTCAAGAGAGAAAAGCCCTGATTTGTCTTGTTGATTGCTATATAATCAGGGTCTACAGCAGGGCCTGGCACATTGTGATGTTCAGTAGATACATCTGAATAAGTAACACACTGTTTGGGAAATAGAGGTGCTGCCTCCCTCAGTAACTGGGTGACATGGTTCCTCTGCTTTCAACATAGACTCTGCCTGTCAGGTCAATCACAGGGTAGAAAGCAGAAGTCAGATTTGACTTTGCCCAACACAATGATAAATGCCTCATCCCTCAGGGAGTGGGGCTTATAGGTACCATGAATAGGACAGGACACTGCCTTACTATACTAAATTTTTACTATATGCAAGATAGCGAATTAAATGTTTGGCATTTGTCAATCAGTATTCCAACAACCCAATTGAGTAGATGTCATTGCTATCTTCATTCTACAGATGTGGTCTCTGAGGCAAAGAGAAACAGCCTGCCCAAGGCCACGAGCTACTATTCCCCCCACTAGGAAGTCTGGCTGAAGCCATAACTACTCCATCATGCTTCCTCCAGACAGTTGGTGGTAGTGTAAGAGAAACCTGCATCCACCTGATGCAAAGATGTCACCACAGTAGAAGTCTGCAAGGAAAGGTTTGGAGGTGTGGGCATTGGAGTGAAATAAAAATAAACATTTTTTTCTCTTCTTGGGGAAAAATGCAGAATTTATCTAAACATCAATTCCTGCTGTTATCTAGATAATATTAGTGTTGAATGGGAACTTGTATACATTAGAGAATTAATTATGACTGGGAACTGGGGGTTTAAAAGGCCAGTGGATATAGTTAAAGCATGTTTTCATGAGCAAATGGCTAGGTTTAATGGGGGTTCTGAAAAAAAAATTCCTATCTGGACCTAGATTTTTTTTTTACTTTGGTTCCCAATGACTGACAGGGCAACAGGCTGAGTCCCCTAGCCACAGTCACGACATGCTGGGGGGAGGGGTGCTGCTTATCTGAGAGGGTTACTAAGTAGTGCCCAAAACTCCCAATTATTATTGATGTGACTGTAAAAATAGTTCTATGGGGAGAATCAGATCTGTTGCCATCTTGAAACACAGAAAGTCATACAAGTTTTTGACTAAAATAATCAGACCACCTCATAGACCCTATGTTACACTAAGTTACTGTTATTTCTTTGTTCTGCCCTCTAATCCAGATAGGTTGCTGAGAGTAGGAGAATGATTTGGTATGACAGTAACCAACCCTTCAGGGTACCAATATGCTCTGAAGGCAAGGAGAAAAAACACATTTTGCATTTTCCCCTCATCGTCTCATCTCAAATCACTCTAATTATTAGTATCAAATGGCCAAGGAGTATTTCACCAGTGAGGGTCTGACCCAATAGCAGAGATGTAGTCCTAAAACCTTTTACACACACACACACACACACACACACACACACACACACACACACACACACACACACTTCCAGACAGAATAATACATGGGGTTTTGAAAAGGCTGTATGCTGTACACAGCTGAGGGAAATTCTAAGTTGGCTCACATGGGGAAGATCTAGGACTGACCTCCACATGGTTCTGAGCCAAGAGTCTGAGCTGCATTTGTCTGGGGCTAGCTGGTAGCTAAGAATACACTGTCCTCCATGCTTCCTCCGACCTTGTACACACCCCATGCCCTCCAAGTGCAGCCCATCCTGGAATGGGAAGCCTCTGGTTTGCTCTGCACTGAGCCTTCAAAAAGTAGGGTACTAGAGACTCCAGTTGGTTCTTGAACCCAGACCTTTGAGTTAAGTTCCTTCCTCTTCAGCACCACTTATAACCCCATACCAGCATGTCTCATTATCACATTCAGTTCCAAACCAGAGCTCAGTCGCCATTTAGGGGAAAGGAGGAGGTGGGGATGAGGAGGACTTATAGTGGCAGAAGGAAGCAGGCATACCTGTGAGCCTAGCCTTAAAGCTTCAAATGAAAAAAAGTCCTAAACTCAAGAGAACCGTCAGGGTTGTTCTCAGCCTGATGCTCTGCTGTCTCAGCTAGAGAAGAAAGGGTGGGACCTGGCCCTTGGCA